AAAAAAAAAAAGGTAAAAGAAGCAGCATCATACTTTAATACGGAATACCCTTCAGCCTGCTTTTTGGTCATATGATTTATGGATTAGGCTATCTATCCATAAGACAGTAATACTTTTTATGTGTGTGTGTGTGTGTGTGTGTGTGTGTGTGTGTGTACCGTCAAATTGGATCTGACTGGTACAGGAGATTGCCCCTCCTTCTCCAACACAGCATCTGGTGAATTAGAATCACGCACCGCTGGGATTCGCAGGGCAGCTTCTTGCCACTATGCCACTAGAGCTCCCTTAATTTCTTTTTTTCAAGTATCAGATACAAATGAAGTATATTTACTCAGAATCCAATCTGTACTTCATCTAAAAACATTTTCAGTTATGATTTGAGGTCAGTAATCATACAATCTTCCCCTTCCGCTCAATGAACAGTAAATACCAAATACCAGTCACCTGAGAATTAACAAAATTCTCAATCAAAATGAATAAATTATCTTCATACTGTTCAATCATCTAGTCTGTCTGTTAAGTCTCGATCCTGAATCCAACTGCTGTTCATTTCAGAAAAATTAACTGTTCGTGAAAAAAAAAAAAATGTAGAAAACAGTTATGATTTATTTTATAGTTTATCACTGCTCAATTAGCATTCCACAGAACCACTGTGTTAAGAACAAAATCTGGCTTATCAAAAAAAAAAAAAAATCTGGCTTATCTCAATCTTCCTTTTATCTTTTGTTGTTGTTATGTGCCATCAAGTTGTATGCGACTCACAGTGACCCTATCTATGTACAAGAGCCCTAAAAGCAGATCTATCCTGTGTCAAGCATGCTGTCTCAAATACATTCATTCCTACCACTCCACTCACAGAATTGTTTTATCTTTTAAGAAGAGAAAAATTGGTACCTACCTTTCAGAAGCCTCCTGCTTCAACTGAGGCACTTCACAAAGTGCTGAATCGGTATCCATGGGACCAACAAAGTCTTGTTTGATATTAGGGCAAGGTTTCTCTAAATCCTTATGTGATGTTTCGTGAACTCTCAATATAGGATCTGAATCTATATCCAGCTGAATCTCTGACCTTTCATCATCAGTAAGATGAATCTGATGACCAGGAGAACTGGGAACACCATTCTCTTCTGGATCAGAGCTATTCTTTTGCTTTCCCTCTCTCTGGGGCTTAGTATTCAATCCATCATCCCGGAAGCCTTTGGCAAATGGATTGTAATCTATTTTCAGTTGGGTAATCTGAATGTTTTGATAAGCTGTAACAGCATAGAATTCAGTTTGTGGAAACGTAAAAGTGTGGACACCAGGGCCATTCAATTGTATCACTTCAGTAGCCTTATCTGCAGGCACTAAATGAAGCCTTGGTAGGTAGCGATGCATAGAGTGCAAGATGATATGCCCTTCTTGGTCCAGTGTATTATTTGTAAGTTTGAGTTTATAGAAAGATACCGGTTGATGCATCCAAAAGTGACCTGTGGAAGGAGATTCTGGATGAATAAAAACTCTCCCCAAAACATGGGGCTCAGCCTTCCCACTGGGTTCCCACCAACGACCATTCCATTTATAACGATGGTTGTCCATAGGAGATATATCCATAACAAGGATATACTTCAAATTTGAATCTAAACCTGTTATCCAGTAACGACAATAAGGAAACATGCGTCTTCCCTGCTTGGTCAGAATCATCTCTGTGCTTCGATGATAGAATTCATTCCACATACTATTGTTATCCAAAGTGACAGTGATTCCTCCCACAGTACAATCAGCTGGAAGGCAAATCTTCCCTTTAGACTTTTCTGGTGATGACACACTGCCAGTCAAAGCACATGTATCGCGATTCGTGACCAAAATTCCTTGATCAGTTTTGCCATTTCCTGGCTGTTTTAAGATAACAAAAAAAGTAGGTGTTGCTCCTGGGACTGTCCCACTATCCTGATTAGCCAATATAATCTGCTGTTTCTCCTCCATGATTCCAAAGAGAAACTCAGTAGTAAGACAACTTACATATCACATAGTCACAATGGTCTTTCCATTCTAAAAAACAAAACAAAACACAAAGTGAGAAGAAAAACAAAACTTAAATCAAATTAATATTTATTTCATTAATGAAAATACAAGAATGACTATGAGATTCCCAAATACTGATAAATTTTAAAATTTGGCTTCTATCCTCTCAATTGCTGAGAATATTCATTCTATACCAGTTAATACTTGATCTAAATTTAATTAAATTACTCACAACTCACTTTACTAAATACTCACTACAGACATAATCACACAATAAAATAATATATTTAACATTATTTGTTTTTATAAAATTATTAGTATACTAATATTAAATTCAAAGACAATTTGCATTAGAAAGAGATTCAATACTTTACAAACCGCCATGAGAATCCTCATATAGCAAATTCTTCTGAGAGCTAAAAAGTCAATTTCCATTTTACTATTTTAAAAAATTCATTTTTTATTATAGTACTAACACGAATTCATAAAGAAGTGCTCAACAATGAATGAATGGAAACCCAAAGACTCTATAAACTTTCATTAAAATTAAATTAAATTAAAATTAAAATTAAGTGCTATCTTGTTTGCACTTCATCTAAAAAAGCCATGACAAATCATGAGAATTTACCGAACAAAAAGAGAGCGAAGTTCATACCTGTCTCCATATTAAAAAAAAATCCATCTGAACTAAAGATTTAAATATTTTAAAATTTTATGTTTAAATAAGATTGTTGTCAACTTATAGAATTTCTATTTATCTAATATTGAGAAATTCTCCAAGAAGTCCTAAGAAAAAAATGTTTCATAATAAATGGACATAAAACCTACAAGCAAATATGATACAAAAACTGTGACAAATTCATTATGTTCTATCTAACTTTTAAAATCTGGCCCCCAAAAAAGCAAACCATCCAAGGAAAATAAATCGCTGAGAAAAAAAAGTGCAAATTACAAAATAAAGAACTCATTAATATTAAAACCAAACTCAAACTCACTGTCATTGAGTTAGAACCTCCCCATGGCTGGCCCTGCACTGGTTTTCTGAGGCTATAAACCACTTTGCAGGAAACTGCTCATCTTTCTACCCCAAAACTGCAAGAAGATTCAAACACAGGCACCATAACTCCTCATGAACTATGCTAACAGAAATCCTTCTAATATAAAAAGGATTCCTACAAATCAACAAAGGAACTCTGGTCACAGAGCCTATAATATGTCACTAACCAAAGGCTACAAGTCTCCAGCAGTTGTAATCCACCACTGGCTTCTCGGGAAAAAGATGGGCAATCTCCATAAGATTTACAGTCTTGGAAACCCAATGGAGGGTTCACTAGGAGTTGGAAACGATTTGATGACAATTCTGAAAAATCACTAAGATCAAACCTAATTTTAAAAACAACCTGAAGACACAAGCTCACAAAAAATAAAGAGTAAATAGCTATGAAAATGTACACAGTCCTACACAGAATAAGAAATGTCAATAAAATCTATTGAAATACTATTTGTTTTTTAACCATTCAGACAGACAAAAATCAAAGTTTAATGGAGAGGATATAAAAAGGTCAATCAGCAACTGCCACCCAAACAGTTGCTAGGAGTCAAAATGACAAAATTATAATTTTTAGGTTAGTTAGAAATATCAAACGCACATTAGTTCTTCCGTGACTCTTACATCTATAAACACATCAATATAAATAATGAGTGAATACAGGACTGTTCACTCTATTTGTATTTTTAACAGTAAAAGACTGGAGGAAGAAAAATGTTCACTGAAAGAGAATGATTAAATAGATGCACATCTCTAGAATAGAATACTATGCAACTGTAATGGATAATGACAAACTTCTTATGGAGTGATACAAAATTAGCTGTAAATTACAATTGTACATTTTTTAAAAGCCAAGGCAAGAACATATATGTAATCCTTTAATATATACAAACTCTAAAAAAAGACCAGAGTGATAACATTTGGTAAAAAAAAAAAAAAAAAAAAAGGTAGTGAGAAAGACGACTGTAATATATCCTTTGGCAGATTTTTAATATTTTACTTCGTGAACATAAATATACTGGAAAATGTCCATCAACAAACAAATGGATAGAGAAGCTGTGGCATATACACACAATGGAATATTATGCAGCACTGAAAAACAAAGAACTCATGAAATATTATACAAAATGGGTGACAATGGAGGACATTACGCTGAGTGAAATATCTCAGTCAGAAAAAGACAAATACTGCATAATGCCACTATTATAAAATAAGACTGACATGGGGGTTAGGAGGAAACTAAGAAAAAAGTAGATAAATAATATACACAGCATTGAAACAGAAGAGGGAGAGAACTGTATAAAAGGAATATATGATTAAGTATTATAAGCATGACAAGAGTCCAGAATAAGAGCTGCATAGTAAAGTGGTTTGGGGGAGTGGGGGGCTGGACTGTGTAACAATGAAAGAACTTTTTTTCCAAAGAAAAAAGTGAATGGGGCAGAGGGGGTGCGGGGAGGTAAAGAGTGCAACAATGAATGAATGGAAATCCAAGTTCTTTATAAACTTTTCCTTTAAAAAAAAACAAAACACAAACCCCCAAATCCACCAGATGCTCTACTGGAGAAGGAGGGGCAATCTCCGATTTGATGGTATACACAAAAAAATAATTTCTAAAAAAGATTTTTAAATGTAAAAAAAGAAAACCCCTTCTAAAAAGAAATATAATGTTAAGTTAGTTAACTGAATTAAGCCAAAGGTCACATACTTTATGATTTCATTTACAAAAAAAGTCACAATAGGCAAATCCATAAAGACAGAAAGGAGACTGGTGGTCAGTCACCAAGAGATTGAGGAGGGAAGAATTACAATGAAATGCTAACAGACAACAGGATTTTTTAGGGTGACAGAAATGTGCTGGACCTAGATAATGATGATGGGTATACCACAACATAATTACATATTAAAACTACTGATATGTGAGCTTAAAATGTTGAATATTCTGTTATGTAAATTATGTATCACTTACAAAAAAAAAACTTTTTTCAAGTATACTGTGGCAAGAAGCTGTACTGCAATCCCAAAGGCACATGGTTCGAATCCACTGGAGAAGGAGTAATCTCCTCCTGTGCCAGTTGGGTACAATTTGAAGGTACACAAGAAGGAGAAAAAAAAGTACTGTTAAACTCCATTAAACTGAAATGCTAAATCACCTAAAGCCCTACAAGCTATAAACTTATTCTTTCTTATCAACTTTATACAAAAGAGAAAATACCGGTTTACTACACCAATTGGGTATGTAATGCTGCTTTATTAAATTCAGCCAATTATATTCTGCACTTCAATTAAAAGTCCAATTTTACCTTATAGAAGAGACACTGACAAGCCGTAAACATGCCTAATCAAATTTTTTTTTTATCTCTTCTTCAGGGATTGGTCACGTAATCGAGAAAAAGAAATCTCCACAACTTTACCTTACTATACATACGTTAGACTGAGGATAAAGAATCCCAGTGGTATAACAGTTAAGCTCTTGGCTGCTAAACAAAGGTTGGTAGTTTGAACTCATTCAGAGCCAATGTTGAAGGCTTAGTACTCTGTTGCCATAAAAAATTATAAGCAACAAAAACCTGAGAGAACTCTTAAGTAAAAAGTCACTTCACTACAACTAACAACAAAAGCAACAGACATTTTTAAACATCAACACTTCAAAATATTTGGCTATTTTTTATAGTGGCTCTGCTACTATATATCAAGGACTCAATTTTGACTAATAATAGTGACCTTATAGGACAGAATAGCACTCTCCACAGGCAGGGTTTACTGAATGAAAATATTTTAACAGCTAAAGGCTAAAAATGCACTTCCTAACACTAAATTACTAATACTTACATAATCTCTTATTGTGATAGGTGGGATTCTACCCTTTTATTTGTAGTTTACTCTTATATAAAATTTTTATTAAAAAAATTTAGGGTTAGCCTTTTTCAAAAATTGCCTTACAACAATTTCCTAAAATCAATTCATAAATTTAAGTAGTCTGTCAGATCTTGATTAAATTTGATCTGTCTTAATGTACACCCATGTTTATTGTGTCTTTGTTCACAATAGCAAGGAGTTGGAAACAACCTAAGTGCCCATCAACAAATGAATGGATAGAGAAGCTCTGGTATATTCACACAATGGAATACCACACTGCATTGAAAAACCAGGAACTCATGCAATATTATTCAAAATCAGTGACCCTGGAGGACATTATGCTGAGTTAAGTATCTCAGTCACTAAAGGACAAATACTGCATGGTGCCACTGTTGTAAAACAGGACTGACCTCAGGTTGGGGGGAGACTGAGAAAGATGGGTTCAATAATGTATACTGAAACAGATGAGGGAGAAAACTGTTTAAAAGGGATATGTGATTAGGTATTTTTGTCATGACAGGAGTCCAGAGCAAAGGCTGCACAGTAGAGTGGGTATGGGAGAGGGTTTGTAAAACAATGAAAGAATTTTTCTTTTACTTTTCCAAGAGGATAGTATATTAGGGGGAAGGGCTGGGAGGGGAGAAAAGTGCAACACTGAATGAATGGAAATCCAAAGTCTCTGTAAATTTTCATAATTAATAATAAATTTTCTTAAAAAAATTACTCTGTCTTAGAAGTCGCAAACAGCTAACCTAAGGTGACAGTAAACCAAAAGATTGAAATAAGACCTGGAGAGAGACTGCTAAATAATTACAACATATAAAACACAATTCTACTCTGACACATACAGGGTCATCTTAGTCAAAATCAATGTGATGGCAATTTATTTGAGTAAAATGGTTAAGGTTAGAGAAGTCAAAAAAAATGCCTAACACTTCTTCTACAATGGTATATAACATAAATGTTTAATTCTGTGTTTATTTTATAGTGTTGTTACAAATCACCATTTTTATGAACAAAAGGCAAAATACCTTTATTACACTCACTTAAAGCCAAGTAGGAAAACAAACACTAGAAAAACAGTTATCTCAAATTAATGAATGACATAATGGGTTCAGAATC